TGGAACAAAGGGCAGTGACTGCAGGGGGTGTGAGTGATTGCTGGACCCAGGCTAAAAGGAGATTAGTCTGTAAAAGGGAGCATTCTGGAAGTGGTGAGGATCTTATCTGTATTCAGTTTGATTAGAATAGATTTGCGCATTTTATTTTATTTTGCTTGGTGACTTACTTTGTTCTGTCTGTTACTACTTGGAACCACTTAAATCCTACTTTCTGTATTTAATAAAATCACTTTTTACTTATTAATTAACTCAAGAGTATGTATTAATACCTGGGGGAGCAAACAACTGTGCATATCTCTCTCTCAGTGTTATAGAGGGCGAACAATTTATGAGTTTACCCTGTATAAGCTTTATACAGGGTAAAACGGATTTATTTGGGTTTAGACCCCATTGGGAGTTGGGCATCTGAGTGCTAAAGACAGGAACACTTCTGTGAGCTGCTTTCAGGTAAACCTGCAGCTTTGGGGCAAGTAATTCAGACCCTGGGTCTGTGTTGGAGCAGACGGGAGTGTCTGACTCAGCAAGACAGAGTGCTGGAGTCCTGAGCTGGCAGGGAAAGCAGGGGTAGAAGTAGTCTTGGCACATCAGGTGGCAGCTCCCAGGAGGGTTTCTGTGATCCAACCCGTCACAGTAGCATCATTGCTAGAGGATGGAACTTGGAGTTAGAAGATGTGGGTATTGTTTTCCTGACTCAACAATGCTGAGCATCAATGAACTTTTTTAGTCTCAGTTTCCCCATCTGTAAAAAGGGGATCACGGTACTTCCCCAGCTTTGTGCATTATTTTGAAATCATTGGTGTGAATCCAAATAATTACTTTGTATACAATGTACCATATGTGTCTGGTGGTCCCATATAACTGCCCAATCCCCGTTCTCTGCCCTGTACAGATCCCAAGCCTGTGAATCACTCTCTCTGGAATTTTGGAATTGAATGGGACTCTTTTTGGTTTGACTGTTTCTCTTCAGTTCCTACCTGTACTTTATCAACTCCTGTCCTCTCTTTACTAGTATATAGAGTATCCCCTTTAAAAAATCCTCCAAGGGATGTGTCTGTCCGACCTGTGTGCTCCTCTGCACCTGTCGGCTTTCCACCAGCCCTTAGTTTACAAACTCTTCTACGACCTTCTTAATTTTACATGCCAGAAATCTGGTTCCATTTTGGTTTAGGTGGCATGCATCCTTCCTGGTTCCCCAATCCCTAATAAACTTAAATCCCTCCTCTGAACACTATTGTCTCATCCACACATTGAGACCCTGCAGTTCTGCTTGTCTAACTACATGTGGAAGTGGCTGCATTTCAGAGAATGCTACCATGGAGGTCCCGGACTTTAATCTGTTATCTTGCAACCTAAATTTAGCCTCCAGGACCTCTCTCCTGGCCTTGGCACAGAATGTTTATGGATATGGGCAGTAGGTAAATGTGCATCTCTTCTGGTCGTAATTCAGGCTCTGTCAGCCACATAGCTCTGTGTCTTTGATCCTGAACCTGCACATCTTGTTTCATCCAGGGAAGCATCAGGATTTCCATGACGGGGAAAAGGGCCAGCAGTTTAGCTAGTCTCTGCTGGCCCCTCTTCAGACAGATGGGCTCATCTCCTCCATGCTATTCTCTCTGGTCCAGTAGCCAAAGCACTGTTGAACTGCAAGAGCAAAGCCTGTAATGACTTGTGGTGAGAGACAATGAATCTGTTGATGCGTGGGAGACACCTTGCTATGGTTCAAGAGCTAACGCGTTCATTATGGGACTGAACTAAAAGCTGCTGCATTTGCCCAGCTTACAAATGGAAAGCCCGGCCAGTGAGCTGTGCCTTTCCGGGCGGGAATACACCGCTCCAGCATTGGGAAAGGGGATAGAATGATGTTGTGATGGATATAAAATAATGAGCAATGACAAGCGAGGCAGGAGAAAACAAGGCAGGAAACAAAGACATCTGGGCCTGGGACTTCACAAGCAGCAAGACATCTGTCAGGAAAGCAGCTTCACGCCTATACTACGGGGATTGCACATCGCTCCTTATAGTCGTTTCCCCCCACTTTAGCTCCATTTGCAGGCTGGCAAAACCCAACCGTATCAAAGTCTGTGTGGCTAAAAACTCTTCTCTGATTTGAAGCACAGTCACAACAGTGGCTACTGAACCGCTCAAGTGGCTACCGTGTAGAGGAAAGGCTGCCTATGAGAGCGATGTCGGCTTTGGACAGGAAAATCGAAACCTGAGGAAAAAACACACGCTTGCTCCATAATGTCAGGAGAGGCAGCGGGGCCATTTATCCCTCCCGGTGTTACACAGGTGCAGCGAAAGAAGAATCGGGGCCCAATGAGCCTGATCCTTCTCTACAACGCTGGGGTAAGGCCGGAGTAACGCCTTTCCAGTCAGTGGAATCCCCCCAGGGGAAGTACTTGTGCCCAGTATAGGCCAGTGTGCAACACAAGGCCAGTTTAATTATAACAAAAGTAGCACCCAGATGCCCCAACCACTGTAAAGGTGCTGCAGGGCTAGATTCTCAGCTGATGTAAATCAGCATAGTACCATTGACTACAAAGGAGCTACGCCAGTTTACATCAGCTGAGGACTGGAGCCATCATTCCTATTCTGGTCCAGGAGTGTGGGCCAACCACAGCTCTCCGTTCCGGCCGTATAACCCCATTGATTTGTCGTGAGGGCGGAATGAGGAGCTGTATTTTGCTCCCTGTACTTCACACTAACACACCTGTTACTGGGACATCGTATGAGCCACTTCAGGATTTCTACCGGGACACACAGCTCTTGACTTCCACTGCAGAATCCGCTGTCACTGTGAAACTGATCCGCCCCGAGATACAGGTCCCAATATAGCCTTGGACCGTGTCAAAGAAGCCTGGGAGCCTGTCCCCCTGTATCATGTTCTTGGGGCGAGGTGCTGGAGTGCTGAGCTGAGAGCAGGCAGCTATTGTAATGCTCACTGACTGGAAATGGAGGAGGAGGGGAACTGGAAATGAGATCCTGCCTACCTGAAAGAGACGACTGTCAGACAAGGGTGTGCAGGGGGTTAGGCCTTTGGGTCAGAGATCTGGTTTGAAAACCTGGCGTAAGTCGCAAACGAGAGTGGCCGTATGTTCTCATTCCAGCTGGGACAAGGGTTTTTCATGGTTCCAATTAACCTTTCATAGTCCCCCTCGTTTATAGCCAACACAAAGAGTCCACCTGCTAAATGCACCAGTCAGAAAGAGGGTTGATGATTAATCCCTAACCAGGCTTCCGCCTCAGAACTGACCACTCGAATACCCCACAGTTCATGCGTGTTTGGATCTGGCGTTCTGGTTCAGCCCATTATAAAGAGGGGGCCACTTGCAAAGTGTGGATTGGGACCTGGGTTCAGATTCTGAGCACTCCCAAGTCCGGGGACACTCAGTTTTGAGAGATTTGGTTCAGGCTCCTCAGTTGTAACAGCAATATTCTCTCTCTGCCCATAGGGACGGGTACCTTAGTGACCAGTCTCCCTGACAAGGAGGGGCTGGATGTGGCCTCCTCAAGAGCTGATAAACCCTGCCCGCACTGCGGCACGTCCAGTCTCCTCTGCTGCTCCAGGGGATGACAGGCTGGCTTAGGAATCTGCCCTGTGTCACTAGCAATCTTGCGAACGAGCAGGGAGCGTTAACGAGCAGGATGTAAAGCACTGCGGGATGAGAAGGAAATATTTAACCCAACACCCACAAGTATGTTCCACGCGTCCCACATTCCCAGGGCTGCAGACTGGGCCAGATTCATCCTTACGGTAACTCACCTAGGTCACTCCAGGCATCTGAAGAAGTGGGGGTTTTACCCACGAAAGCTTATGCCCAAAGAAATCTGTTAGTCTTTAAGGAGCCACCGGACTCCTTGTTGTTTTTGTGGATACAGACTAACACGGCTACCCCTCTGATACTAAGTCAGTGGTGTTACACCAGGGAGATATTGACCCATGGTTTTAATATCTCTCCCAGCAACACCATTCCGAGAGGTGTCACGTGATCAGCCAGTCAGCATTGACTGATGCTGCGTTGTCATTCCCAGAGGTAACCCTTTCCCGAGGCTCTTTCTGGGGACGATGCTGTTAAGCATATGAAGGGCAGGCTACTATGAGTGAGGAAGGCCCTAAGTGTTGAAGAGAAATGCTACAGAACAGTTCCAGCTCCGCATCTGGTACGAAAATCATGAGGTTGGGGTTTGGATCTGGATGATTCCAGTTCAAGACTCACCCTAGAAATGTTCTTACCAGAGATGCACCGCAACAGAAGCTTGAACCCGACCCCCTTTGCAAGCTGCAGAATTGGAATCCTCCAGAGCCAATCCCCGACCCCCAGGTTTTGGTTCAGAATCCACGCTGGAAGCAGCTTGAAATTCTACGAGATCAGCTGGTCTTGTGAGATTTCTACCACTTTGAGCTATAGTCCTACACTAACAGCTCATAAGATTTGGGAGATGTCAGATTGAAAGCCAAGCTTTAGCGCTCGGACTCCGCCCAGCCAACTCTCAACCTAAATGTGGCAGACACCACCTGCTGTCAGCTCACCTCTAACAGTTACTGGATTGTTTCACTTGGAATCCTATTGGAATCAATTCAGAACAGCACAATTCTTCTTTCCTTCATCCCCCTGGTATAATTTCCCAACCCCCTCTACATACACTGTCCTTCATAGAGATGTGATGGACTTTCCAGGGGGAGGGATAGCTCAGTGGTTTGAGCATTGGCCTGTTAAACCTAGGGTTGTGAGTTCAGTCCTTGAGGGGGCAATTTGGGGATTTAGTTGGGGATTGGTCCTGCTTTGAGCAGGGGGTTGGACTAGATGACCTCCTGAGGTCCCTTTCAACCCTAAGAATCTATGATTCTAGTCCATGCTATCACTTCAAATTGGAAACAGGTCCATGGATATATTCCCTAGATATCTCAAGAGCAATGCAGGGAATATACTCCTAAGTACATGTTTGGCAGCTGGAAAAGCATTTCCCAGGCAGTATAAAAACCTGACTTATACACAGCGTTACAAGTTATTTCATTTAATTTCCATGAAACGATGATCCTTTTTTAACACGTGCCTACATTTAAAAAAAACCAAACTTCCCTTTAATTCTACAAAATAATTGATCTTTCCCCATCAGTACGTAGAATAAATGGTTTTATAAACATTTGACGAATTCGGTCAATATGAACTATACCTAGCTCCATGGATCTCAATGTGCTTTACAGAGGAGGGCAATATCATTATTCCCATTTTAAAGATGGCAAGACTGAGGCACACGGAGGGGAAATGACTTGTCCAAGGTTACCCAGAAGCTGTGAATCCAACCCAGGTCACCCGAATTCCAGTCTGGGGTTCTGTCCCTTAGGCCACACTGTCTGTTTTGCATTTCTGAAATGTCTTTCATCTGGAGGTCTACAAACTCCAGACACATTAGGACAACCTCGGGTTAAATATAGGGTGGGCATTACAGAGCGCTCAATCCTTTGTAACCACGAGCAGAGGGCAATCAGCAGAATTGCGGCTCCTCACACTGGCTCCTGCTACTTGGAAGGGCGAACGTAGGAGGAGCTAGCAGCGCTCAGTAGGTCGGGACTGGAGTGATACTGCAATCTCCTTTTTATACATGGAATTCTGCTGAGCAGCTGGAGGCTTGGAAAGAAAAGGAGAAAGCTGAGGATCTATTTTTAAATAGCTTTCAGTGGCTCTTGTATCCTAGAGCGCCCCCTTGTGGCAACGACTAAGTGGCAATGCTGTGGTCTCTCTTTGGGAACCTGAGAAGGAAGGTTTGTAGGGACCCGCTCCTTGGGAATCCAGCCTTCTCCTTTTTGAACCTCCATGTAGTCTCTTCTATGGAGTAGAGGAGGGTCAGCATCCTGTTGACTGTATAAACTGTATCCCCTCTGATCACGGCAGTGAAGAGAGCTCCTTTGCTGTTCACGTATTGCCCCGGTAAAGCTGTCCACTGCAGGCTGGTGAGGTTGAAGCAGTCTATCGCACACCGCAGGAAGTCGTCTGAGGGCCCATTCCGTATGATGTAGAGATTATCTCTGTGGGCCACCATGCAATGGCCGTAGCTCTGAGGCCGCTTTAAGGCTGAGATGGGAAGCCATTCGTCTTTCTGGATCTCATACTCATAAACGATAGTGGTGTCTAGTGGCTTCCACAAGCAGACAAATATCCGCCCCATGGTCTGGGCGCAGGGCGCACCTGCCGTTGGCTGGGGCAGATCAGCGACAAAAGTCCAGGTGTTGGAGGACACGTTGTATTTCTCCACGGACTTTAGCAAGGTCTTCTCAAATTCTCCTCCTATGGCGTAAAGATAACCTTCATGACCCGTCAGTGTGAGGTCATACCGGAGCTGCTGAGGGCTGGGAAACTCGCTCCAGCTGTTAGCATCTACGTCATAGCAAAAACTGATGTCCACGATTTGCTTGCTCGCTCCACGGACTCCGCCCACTATGTAGATTTTATTATCCAGCGTTGCCATGCCGGCTAGGAATGTGCTGGCTGTCAGCGGCAAGCAGGAGAGCGTCTTCCACGTGTTGTCATCCTCATCCAGGTAGCAGATGGTTCTCGAAAGGTCCTGTAGAAACTCAAAGGTTGGTGTATGGGCTCCCACTGCGACAAATGTGCTGGGCAGAAGGGAGTCCACGTAATCCAGCAGGTCAGTAGAAAGGCAGTCTAAGTACTCCTCTAAATCAGAATAGCCATCTCTAATGTACAGGGCAGCTCTGTGGAAAAGGTCCTGTAGGCCAAACATGGCAGCAGCTTGATAAAGGACAATGCAGTTATCGGAATTGATGGAATTAATCAGATATTTGGTCATCGTCTTCACCTGAAGAAAAGCTGCACATTCAACCGCCTTGAGATTCTCCTCACAGGTCAGCACAGGTCTCTCCCCTGCCAGGACCCGGAGCATGAGGAGAAATCCCATGGCACTCAAGTCTCGGATCTGGATTTCGTCTTGCGTGCTCTCCTTCATGCCAGACTGGAAGAGCGCGCGGAAGTACTCACTGTGTTCCACCAGCAGAGCCTTGTCGGTGGCAAAAAATTCTTCCTCCACTTTGATACGCACTCTTCCCCTCAGGAACGTCTGCATGGTCTGATCCCCCTGAATCAGCCTTCTAATGCCGGGGACCTGAACCAGGGAAGCAGGCGGTGGTGGCGTCTCAATGCATGGGCAAGGACACAATGGAACCCAAAGCCTTTCTCAGTGTGTCGGCCGCTTCCCAAGCAGAGCACTGTTCCTATTTCTTCTGTGGTTGTTTGCTAGCTTTCTGAGCCTCCCCAGCAGCTAAGACGCTGCTAACTTGTAATATAAATACCTCCAGCTAAAGATAGCTGTGGCCCATGTGATCGGAGCTGCCAGCAATGAAAGCCATAAGCAGAGCCTGTCATTGGCATCCATGGAGCTCTCTTACCAGCTGATACCAGCAGCATTGCTTTGAATGAAACACAGAGAAGCCACTCCAGGGACCGGCAGCACTTAGCTGCCTATCGACGGGGGGGAGGGAGATCATCAAATAAAGGTGGAACTTAACCGTACTGGACGGGTCCGGTTCATCCCAGCTGTAACTTGTGAAATCCCCTCGGGATGACGTGAGGTGGTCTCCCAAGGCAGAAGGTTCCCTAGGGAAGATGGTGGTGAAGGTTTCCAGAAGTGACTAGTGATTTTTTGGTGTCTCAATTTTTGTGTGTCCCACGTGAGGCCACAAAGAGCCCTGGTTTTAGGAGGCTGGCCGCGTAGTGCTTTCTAAACGCCAGGCCCCTTTAAGGCATCCCAGAATCACAAGTCAGTTCTGAAAATCTTGCCTGGGGTCTTTACCAGATTTCCCTGTGGGCTCCTAAAGGCCCATAGATGCTACAGAACTAGAATACTTATATAGCAAGATGCTTGTAATAATCATACTTTGGACTTTGCTGTGAGGATCTCGAAGGGCTTTACAAAAGGCCAGATTCTGCTCTTGGGAGTGCAGTTGGTCAGTGTTTTTACTCCAGAATTAAACCAGTGTATCAGGGAGCAGAATTGGGGCTCACAGATTGAGCGTTCCTCTTTGGGGGAGCGAGGTGCTCTACCAGGGAAACTGAGGCACACAGGTGTTAAGTGTTTGACCCACAGTCTTAGGAGAGGCTCCAGAACTGTGGTCCACAGAACAACTGCTGGTGATCCTTGGAGAGCTGGTTAGTCACATGGTACTGGCTCCTCCTCCTAATTTCCAGATGTTAAAATGCCTTAAGCTAAAAATACATTCAATCATTCCCTAATGTGACCTTTTTCGGGTCAACGATTGCTGCAGTTGCCCCAAGCATGTTATGTGACTGCAAATTGGCGGGGAGGCAATCCGCACAATTGGGAATGGATGAGGAGATGCCCCTGGGAAAATCTCTCTATTAAGATGTGGTCCTCAGGAGGAGAATTTCTGAGAAGCGCAGTTCTAGGAATTCCAAAGGCGGCTTCTCTACTGGGTGCATACAGACTCTGATGTTATCTCCCTGGGGGGGAGAGCCGGACCCCAGTGCAGAAACGGCCATAGATATTCTAATCCTGATGTTCATTCATCCCACAGCTGTGGCTTTTTGTATTGCTGGAAAGAGCGTGCTTCCCCTCCCCCCTTCATAAAAGTAAGTTTTATGGCTTCAATGAGATAACTACTTCCGTAAATCTTTGAGTCTTTAAGCCCGAATTGTGGGACCGTGCGTCTGCCAGCACCGCAGGCCACACACACCAAAGGGCGTTTGACAAGCAGTAGGGACGGTTTATTACAGGTTTTTATTTTATTTTGGCACATTGGGAGAGACGATGCAAAATCAGCGTGGGGTCTGCAAGGTGAAGGGTCGGCCTTGGGGTTTGAAAGTTCCACGGAGGTGGGCTCCGTTGGTGAAAAAACACCGCATTCAGTTTTGCTATTACAGTAGCTCTTGGATTGACAGCTGGACTGCGTCCACTGTACAACCTCAGTGCCTCCTTCAAGGCATAGTGCAGCTAGCTGCTTCGTTCAGGGGCTTGGACAGATACAGGAAGAGGAGTTCACATCTATGCGCCTGGCCATGGTTGCAGGGATCACTGCAAAGCTCCCTGGGGGCCGATTCTGTTTTTGTCTCCCAGGAGTATCAAGGAGGTGGAATCGAATTTGTCCCTAATTTAGGTGATTTACATTTTGGAGGGGGAGCTTTGAAATCAATGGAGGTTAACCTTCAATGACTGCCCCTACTTATTAGTGGTTTTATCCACATCTATGCCGATCGCAGACAGGGCCGGCTCTAGGATTTTTGCCACCCCAAGCAAAAACAATTTTGGCCGCCCCCCCGTTTTTTTTCTTACCCCACCCCCGGCCCTGCCTCAACTCCGCCCCTTCCCCAAATCCCCAGCCCTGCCTCCTCCCCCCAGACTCTCAAGCCTAGGAGGGAGGGAGGGAGGGAGGGGGAGAAGCAGCGCGCCCACCGCGGCCGCTCGGGGTCTCCCCCTCCCTCCCAGGCTCTGAAACCTGGGAGGGAGGGGGAGCAGCGGCGCGCCAATCAGGTGTTTCACGCGCTGCGGCTGCTCAGGATCTCCCCCTCCCTCCCAGGCTCTCAAACCTGGGAGGGAGGGGGAGCAGCGGCGCGTGAATCAGCTGTTTCGCGCGCCGCGGCCACTCGGTATCTCCCCCTCCCTCCCAGGTTTGAGAGCCTGGGAGGGAGGGCAAGCAGCGGCGCGCGAGTGGCAGCAGCGGAGGTGAGCTAGGGCGGCCGGGGCACATTTTTAGGGGCGGCATGGCCGGCGCAAGAATGCCGCCCCTAGAAATGTGCTGCCCCAAGCACCAGCTTGTTTTGCTGGTGCCTAGAGCCGGCCCTGATCACAGTATAGCAAAGCAGAAGCTAAAACAAACCCCAATTTGCCAGCTCAGTGAGTGGAAGAGCTAAGAAGAAAGTAGAGGTTTGAATCCCAGCTTTGGGACTGGGTGCTCCTAACACCTCTGCAACACTGCTTTCCAGTCTGCCAGGGTAACTTCTCCACTCGACCTCCTCTGTCTCCACTCGACCTACTGAGCTCTGCTGCCTTCCATTCGGCGCCAGCCTATGTGGAACCGGGGCGATCCAGGCTCACACTTCGGGAGAGGGGATTTGGAGCAGCACACAAACTCTGCGGTTGGACAGCGTGTGTCCAAGTGGCACCCCAAGCTAGCACAGACTAAGGAAGGAAGGGGGAGCCCAGTGTATTAATCTCCCATTCAGAGGTACTGGGGTGCATTGGGAAGCACTGCTCTACAGCTCCCCCAACAGGCCAGTTAGGAACAGCGTTAGCTGAACTGTTCCAGCTTTAGGAGAGCAGCTAGTCTGCCTTCCTGGCAGAGGATGGAGGTTGCCCGCTGCTTTCATGGCCTTTAGTTTCCCCCCCTCCCTCTCTTGGTGAGCGTCCGCCTGCAGCGGGGGCCGGGGGATGCAGACCCCGGGGTGTAGCCAGAGGTCAAGCACGTGAGCTTGAAACGGCCTCGTGCTGCGTGCGGGGCAGAGAGACAAAAATAGAATTTGGGAAAAGAACAACGTGGTGACGGTTGTGCGGTGGAGAGAGACGAGGAAAATCACCACGTGCAATTCGAGCCCATGGGATCGCTGCTCCGCTGAGCCCTTCGGAGCCGTTCCTGACCCCAACCCGCTGGCTCGGTTGTACTTTGCTAAGGCTGCCGTATCATTTTACAAACCTCCCCACCCCCAAACACCCACTCTGCTTTTCCCTTCGGTTTTGTTCTTCAGCCTTTCTCCTGAACAACAGCCCCTTGTTGTCAGCACCGGGCCTTGCTCAGTCAGGTACATTTAGGCGTCTGCCTCCAGAAAGGAAGACGGTTTATTTGCAGTCCCCTGGTTCACCTGAGTTCAAGCCGGCTCCGAGTCTTCTTTGGCTGCAAAGCTGGCAAGTTCTGTGCAGCTCCACGTGTGGCATTTTATGCAGGTTATTTAATGGAATAATTTGCATATGTGCAAAGAATTTGCATGGAGCCGTGTGTTTCTGTTTATGGTCAACATACTCTGCTGCAAGGAGTGGCGGGGGTAGGACATGGAACTGCGCAGAACGTGGCAGGTGGGGGTCAACTGGGTGCTGGAGTTTGTCCGGGGTGTCTGAAGGATGGTGAAGCTGCTGGTGTGGAATGGCTGCTAGGGTAGACGGGGGAAGGGTGTGTCTGGTGCTAGCTGGGGGGCTGGTCACTAGAGGGCTGGTCGCTGGGGTGTCCTTGGGGGGCTGGGACACGTTGAGTCCCTCATTACCGCTGTGCAGAGAACAGAAGCTCCGTTTCGTGAAGGATTTTGAGTCTGGGCTTTGTTCTGAAGCAGAACAACAACAGAACCCGGCTAAATCCTCTGCGAAGCAAAATTCCCCCAAACTTGTGTTCTGACGGCATGAAACGTTTCATTTTGCTTGTCTTCTGTTTTGTATGGTCATTTACAATAGGCTGCCAGAAGCCGGGATGGATCTCCCCCAGATTGCCCCGTTCCACACACGCCCCTGAAGCTCTGGTGCTGGCTGCTGTCAGAGAGGGGACACTGGGCGGGATGGACGGTGGGTTTGTCCCAGCAGGGCAGCTCTTGTGTCCTTATGCAGAATGCAAAGCGAAAATATTTTAAGTGAAAAAATCATTTCGAAACATTTGGACACTGACGGAACCTTTTTTTCCTGTTTTTTTTTCTTCCAAAGTGAAATTCCAGCAAAATCGACCCGGCTTCACAGAGCGTTTGGATTTCAGGGGCACTGGAATGTGGCTCCATCTAAGTTACTCTGACCAGATGTACCTGTCACCTTTGCCTGCACCTCCTGCTTTTGCTGCTACTACTGCTGCTGGGATCCCCGCTAGGAGAGGAGAGGTAGAAAGGCTGCCTCCACGGCATGTGCCGCTGGACCCTTGATAGCTGGGAGGGGCAAATGCAACCTGACCCCATTCCCGCAGGCCACATCAGGAGCCAGCTGTGGGGTGAGAATGTATGACAGGGCCGCCAGATGTGTGGGTGTCACGCTTGGTAGCTGCTGCTTTTACCTCAAATCTGCTGGGGCTAAGGAAGCAGCTTCTATGCAAGATGCCAGAGGGAAAAGGCAGTTGTTAGAGCAGGGGACAGGGACTCAGGTTTGGTTCCGGGCTCCACTGCTGTTTCACCGTGTGGATTTGAGCCAATCACTCACCTCATTGCTGGCTGCCTCAGTTTCCCCATTGGTGAAATGCAGATGGCAAGAGTGAACCGACCCTTTGAAAATGCTTTGAGATCCCCTGGGTTGAAAGGAGCTGGGCAGGTGCAACTTATTGGGAGT